CCCGAAGTGGGGTTCTTGACTTTGTTGATGTTCTTCCGTATGCCCCAGTTGTACATCCACTGATCGCCGCCCCATCGTTCTTTGCGCATCGCCTTGGCCCTCTTTCCACTTGGAGCTTTGATCTTTGAATTCTTGGCCCGCGCAGCGTCCTTTGAGCTAGCAGCGCCGGCCTTCTTCTTCTTCTTCGGATGTAGCTTTCCTGCTTGATCTCATCTACATCCACCGTATTTTGGGTCAATGCCCATTTGTCAGGAGTCAACCCGGCGGGTCTCGTGGTCTTCATCACACGAAAACCATCTGCGCCCACGGGATACGGCCTCCCGATCTTGTCAAACTTGGAGTTGTCTCCTTATATGATGCCGCCCTTCCAGATCAAATATGGAACAGATCAGAAGTGTCCTCAGCCACCTCCTTGCCTCCGGACCCCGGGCCCCCGGCTTGACGACGTCGACATCCTCACCTTTCTTGTCGTGCGTGATTCCAGCGATCACCTTGAGCTCATCGAGTTGTCCCGGCTCTGTATCTTGCACTAGATCAGGTTCGTGATCCTCGTCTTCAGCAAGACGATCACGGATGTCAAGACCAGTGGAATCGACTCCTTCTTCGATCCCCTCTAACGTCTCTTTCTTCTGCTTGTACTTCTCCTGTTTGGCAATGAGATCCTCTCCGTTTGACGTGGTTCCAAGGTGCTCTCCATGCAAACGGAACCATGCGCTCGAACCTCAATCTCCTCAATGTTTATGAGGTGACATAACGTGGAGATGGCGCACACCCAGTAGCATGTCGGTAGTCCTGCGTGCACAATTGAGCGGCCCTAAAAGGGATCTATCAAGTGGGATCAGCACCGCGGCGAGATGCGGCATGTTTCGCCCTCGAGGCGTCGTGATGCGTCGTGATGCGTCAGGGTATTCAAACAACATCTGGCAAACAAATACTGAAACAATGTGGAAACCCTCCGGCAAGGAAAGTTCAACATCAAGCCGGTCAGCCTATGAACTCTATGGCTGGGCTGCCTCGGGCAGAAACTTGATGCATCGTGATGCGTCTTGATGCGCGCCAGAAGCGCCGTGATGCGTCTGGATGCGCGCCAGAACCCACATGATAGAACCCATTTACGGCCGCCTGACAAGACAGGCAGTGGTGTGATCCACTATGAACTGGTTCCTGCGTTCCGCAGCGTCGTTTTCTGCTTCTTCCCAGGAAGTGATAGATCATGTGGTATCTTGAAACCAGACCAGGCATTGATGTCATCTGAATATGCTTTGTTGATCAGCGTAGTTGCGTTCTTCCTTCCAATCGGGTAACCCATGATGATGCCAGTGTTTTCAGCATCGCTGGAAGCTCCCACAAGGTCAAAGGTGATCAAGTCACTGAACGCCTTGACTTCTCGCTCGAAAGCTCCGGATCGACATCTGACATGTCTCACCCTTGCCTTCACACATGCTTCACAGAATTGGTTTCTGTTCCTCTGCGTCAGCAGATGTGTCAGGGTCTTGGCATCATTCTTCAGAATTCCCACCTTTCTGTTGACGGAAGTCCCTTTGTAGATGTCAACCTCGACGCCCCTTTTTTTATCGCCATCTTGATGTTCGGCATCGGGTCCGGGCTCACGGCCACGTCCAGTGTGTCCACAGGCCCAGACTTTCTGGGCGGCCCGAAGTCGAACATTCCAGGTAGACCATCTTCCTGTTCTGCGTCTGCTTTCAATCATCAACTTCTTCGTTGATGTTCGTCTCTTCCTCCTTCTCTTCCTCATCACATTTTCCCATGATTCCCCTCAGATCGTCCATATGAGCCGCAACATCCTCAACACTCGGTCGATGACGGTTGCTCCTTGGCGCCAAGCAGATATGGTATATCGTCCTTGACGTGATCTCTTTGTCTGGTGTGATCATGAAAGGCAGTATTTCATTTATATCCAGTGAAAGAAAACCCCTATTTGCATGCATCGACGTCAAATGGATAGCACTGTTGGTGTCTCCTCCAGCACATATGGATGGACCGTCTCCTTCAGTTCATCCACGTAGTACTTGATCGTATCCGAGGTCAATGTAGTACCATTTGCTGCTTGAAAGACAGTCTCGCCATCTCCAAGGCTAATGTCGATTCCGAGGGGCTTTGCCTTGGATCTACCAATCAAATCGTGACCACATCCTGTGTCCAACCATGCCGGTTGGACAACCATGCTTCTTCCAATTGCACAACGCCTTCAAGGCTGTGTGTCCTCCTCCTTGTCATCTTGGAAGGTGAAGGTGCATCTGTTGCTCATTGGCAGCGTGCGGTGTAGTGACTAGGAGCCAGCAGTCGCCAATGAAAATCTTGGGGTCAACTGCTTTGTGCTGTGGGTTTGACTGGTATCCGCCAAGATACCACCAAGAGTTGGCAGCCCTTCAGATACTCCACCTCATCGCCATCATCGCAATCCAGGACATCCTGAAAGTGTCTCTCGGGGGCTATTGTCTTGCCGGACCACCTCGAAGATTCGCTCATGGCATCCTCAGCGTCGCGATCATGGTATACCGTCTCCGCCTCGGCTTCGCTCTCTATGGCATCCTCCTTCTGGCATTCCGAAATCATTGGTCTCTTGGCGCCAGAGCGGAGTCCTTCGGTGCAAGCATCGAGTGCTTGAACTTGCACTGATCCCCTTTCTTGCACGCGTAGCAAGCTCCACCACCTCCAGGAGACGGTGCTCGAGGTGTGGACTTTCAACCCCCTTTTCCCTTGCCCTTTTCATTCAGCTTGAGCTTGTGCTTCTGGCTGTGGGACTATGAACAGTCTTTCTTCTTTGTGATCCTTCGCCTTGGCTTTTGGCAACACAGGTGCTGCTGGCGGTTCTTTGTCAACTGTCTTGCCTTTCGGTTCACTCTTGGCCTTCGCTGGAGCGGCATTCTTCTCACCCTTCAGCACGTTCTTGACTGACTTCTTCTTCATATCCAACACAAACTCTGCGCGATCGGTTCGAAGTTGCATATCGATCAATCCCAATAGGAACCTCCCCCAGATGCGGTCAGTAGAGCGGGTGTTCGTCCACGACCACCCGACGAACCACCATGTCCTCCGAAGTAAGTGATCGAAGCATTGTTCCTGGTGCGGCTGCGGGGTGTCCCGTGGAGACGGTCGATATGAGCCTGTATCATTGCGTCTTGATAAACAGGAAACAGAATCTGGGCCGAGGCCAGAATCTACTGGCTGAACGTTCACAGGGTCACGCCCAGATGAACTTGAAACAGCAACCACAGTACTGCAAGGAACTAGCTGGCTCGCCGTATGTTTACGATCATCAACTATTAAACCCCTACGAACTTTGGACTTGTTGCATGTGCTACTTGTCCTGCCTGGGTCACCCCTCAGTAGCGCTCGTCCTCGACCACTGATGTTCCCACCGGCAGCTATGTGTTCCGCAGAATCCAGTTCATCTTGTACGCTGCGTGTAGTGTTCTCATCCTCGAGCTCCTTGCTTGCTTCCGCCCATTGCGATACAAAGCTCTCTTGAGGTTGTGCTTAATTTTCTATCTCGCTCTCCGCGTAGGCGTAATAGTCGCGGGATCCAGTTCGTTGGACGCTCTTCATTTCAATCGCCAGTTTGTCGTGTTTGCCGTTCTTCCGGCACATGATGTCTTGGAGAGATTGTCCCTCATGAATCTGCTGATGTGCTGTCTGAATCTCCTCGTTCATCTTACTCTCCCGTTCCTGGATCGCTTGCTTCCCTCGTACCTAAGCTTCCTGGCGTTCCGCATTTCTGACGGCGTCGTTCACCCTCGTCACAAGTGATTTTTGAGGTTCATCTTCCATTGCGACTGCGGGTTGCGCTACCAATGAGCTTTCCAGTTGTTCGCGTAGATCTCGCGCTATGTTTTCTTCGTTCACCTTGTCTCTGTCCATCCTCGCCTGAATGAATAGAGCTGACCATCGTCTGGTACTGCAACTTCAGCTGATGCAGCGTGGTTAATCTCTTCCCCGCGGCTCTTGTTGATGGCAGCACTTTCCTCCTCGTAGCGAAGTTGGTTCTCGAGTTTCCCCACTGCTGCAGACAGTTGATTGCGCACCCTCTCGTGCTCCCTGAGTTTTTTCTTCGCCTCCTCGCCTTGCTCATTGTAGATCTTCACGAAATGAGATGCTTGATCTTCAGAGAGTTTCGTCTTCCCTTTCTGCTCATCGACATGTTGGGCAGCTTCTCTAAGCTTTCCGTCCGACACTCGAAGGATATGAGTTCCCTGTTGTTCGGACATGTTCGCTCTCCCCTCCAGTTCCTGAATGCGGTATTCACTGCCAAGATCCTCCTGCTTGAGCTTCTGGTATGATGCTTGCGTTTCCTGTCTGAGGGCTGCATTCTCTTCCATGACCTTTGTGGGACCCTAAACCTGAAGGTGACTTGGGTCGACCCTTCGTCTTCATCGCGCTCAGGCGTCCGATGAGGATCTCCTCCTGCTCTCACCCTTCTTTGCAGGATGATTCGAATGATCCTGACTCATGCCGGAACTCGCACTTTGCTGAGTATCTGGAGAACCCCCAATTGCTGGGGCAGCAATCATGTTAGCAGAACTTGTGGAACTGCTACTCCCGAAAGTAGCTGTACATGGGCTTCCGGAAGAAACCATTGCGCCCTTTGTAAATAGGAATGTACAAGGTGCAGTTGCTCGTTGTTCACCGCTGAGACCTGTAGACCTGTACTCGTTGATCCTGAACTGTCATATCGAGTAACCAAGAGTCACGCCGGGTAAGCAGTGTTGCCAGGTGGTTTGTAAGGCAGTAGTTGCAGTTGGAGTTGCGGTTGCGAGTAACAATGGCAGCCGCACTCTTTTCTCCTTTCCTATGTGCACAGCAGGCACTTGAGCCAAAATGGTATACAAAGCAATGAAGTGGCTGCATGAACACACATCCCCGAAGCGTTTGGGAAGAACCAAAGGTTGACCCCCAGACCCAGTTCGTAGGATTGCGGCCTGCGGCCCCCAATTCTTAGCACTATTCAGTTTGACTTTGTTGTCAGCCTCGGTTCGAACAAGTTCGACCCAGGTGGCCGCAAAAGATCCTGCTGGCAGCTTCTTTAAAACGACGCTGAGGTTTTCTGCTTTCGATCAGTCCAGAGGTCTCTGAACACACTAACTGCGTGGTCGGATCTGCCTCTCGGTGCCCCCCCACCCAAGGCTTCAGCAACAAACCAACTTGAATAGGCAAAGACAATCCTTCCTGACCTTTCTGTGACTGAGACCCTTGCCCTGAAACATATCTCACAGGAGGCAGGGCGTCGCGCCCCCTTCGCTCTCAGAAGCTCAGCTCCTCCACCACGAATTCCCTGCCCTCGCTCAGCTCCGCAAGCTGTCGCTCCAGTGCCTGCCACGCGTGAATTTGGGGCTCGTCAAACGCCGAAGCAACGGGTGGCTTCAACCAGATCATTTGAACAAGGGGGTAGGTCAGGGCTTTGTGGCTTCATCAGCAGAAATGAAGCTTGCACGTTTGATATAAACCGTTCGCGCGAACCCTGATTCGAATCCGCGCGACGGCGCTCAGAGCTCAGAACTTTCAATCGCAACCCCGCACTCCGAAGCCCTCTAGAGCGCCGGCCCAGCCTTGAAGAGTCGCAGAGCCAAGGCTTCTGGGCAATCTGCAGGGCCAAGTCGGGACAGCCCATAAGAACGTTCAAGAACATGTTTACCGAACGGCGCTAGACTCGACCTCTGGACGCCTGGATTCTTCAGCTGGACGCACGAGACCAGGAAGGGCAGCACCAGCGCCGCGCGGGCGAGCCAAATCCACTTGAAGCCGAACCCCACCGCCGCCACCGCCAGACCTCAGCTGCCATGGCGATGGCAGTCTTCCACCGAAACGATGTGGGACGAAATTTCTGCCGACTACCAGTAGAGCCGGCGAAGCCAGCGGGCGGAAGTTTCCAACAAATAGGAAAATAATTATCTTTCGTGTCTTGATTGTTCTTCGCTTCTTCATTCTTTCCTTGCTTCTTTTGATTGCTTCTTTCCTTCTATTTCCTTCCTTGCTAGCTTCTCTTTCTTCCTTCCTTCTTTCTTATTTTCCTTCTTTCTTTCCATCTCTCCAACTATCTACCTGTCTGTCTATGTATCTACCTATCTTTCTGTCCCTCTCCCTCTCTCCCTCTCTCCCTCTCTCCCTCTCTCCCTCTCTCCCTCTCTCCCTCTCTCCCTCTCTCCCTCTCTCCCTCTCTCCCTCTTCTCAGTGCGGCCCTATCGCCTCGGATCCCATCTGCTCCCTCCTCGCCTCTCTCCCTAATCCCCGCGTCGCCCCTCTCCAACGCCCCTTCGCCCACCCCCCCCCCCCCCACCCCTCTCTCTCCCTCTCTCCCTCTCCCTCTCTCTCCCTCTCTCCTCTCTCCCTCTCTCCCTCTCTCCCTCTCTCCCTCTCCCTCTCCCTCTCTCCCTCTCTCCTCTCTCCCTCTCTCCCTCTCTCCCTCTCTCCCTCTCTCCCTCTCTCCCTCTCTCCCTCTCTCCCTCTCGTTTTTTGCTCTCCCTCTCTCCCTCTCGTTTTTTGCTCTCCCTCTCTCCCTCTCTCCCTCTTTCTCTCTTTCTCTCTTTCTCTCTTTCTCTCTTTCTCTCTCTCTTTCTCTCTTTCTCTCTCTCTCTACCTCCTTCTAAACTTCGCTCGTTCTCGCTAGATGCTCACGGGTGACCTTGCCTCTGACTTGGCCCTCCAGCTTCCATTTGGCCAAAGACCAAGCACATGACAGGAAGCTCTCTACCCGCCAGAAGCGCAGATTCCGTGTCAAAGAAATCGGGAAATCCTTCCTCCACACAAGGGACAATTACATAACAACTTTTTTTGGAGTTCATCTGACCAAAGCCTTTCTGTGGAGACAATAAAGTTGCACGTGAGGCGGTCTGGGCAGCCGGGTCCTCACACTCTGGCCAGCTTCCCGTGGTTTCATCCTACACCCTCTTTCAAAGCCCCATGCCAAGACGCAAATGAAGCAGCAGCACTGCAGGTGATTTACCTGGCATGCGCCAAAAGTGGATGCCCTGACACGAGGGACACAAAGCTGACAACCGGAGGCCAAAATAGAGTTGTAACTCGCGATATGTTTCTAATTGTGCGTGGGAATCCGGCCATCTTTGATTCCTGGAATGTGTTGTTCCCTTGAACTATTGCAGCAAAAAACATCTTCTCTGCTGGTTGTGCTTGGGCATGTGTCACAAGAAGCGAAACGCCCACGGGGAGCCCGAAACATGCGCTCCGCCAGCCTGGCGCTGGGCATAAGGCTGCATGAAGCCGATCATCAAGCCCACCCCCAAGGTGATGCCCACCGACAGGCCCAGGCCCCGCGGGACAGAGACGACCTTGGGCCCTCCCCAAACCCTTGGCTGTGGCCCAAACCGTTTTCCACTCCTTTGAGACCGCAGGAAGTCCTGCGTCTCTAGAAAGAAGGAATGCTGCTTGTGGCGCTCTGTTGGTTTTGAGCCAATCAAGTTTGGCTGCGAAGGAGAGGGGAGCAGGAAGTAGACATCACTGGCACACTGGCGAGGACTGCCTACCTACAGCTCAAAAGGTTCGAAGTGCCTCTTTGACTGGAGGCTTCCTCAAGAAGGCGCACTGCCTGATCAACCAACAAAATATTTGATGGAAATCTGGAAAACGGTAAACTCAACACCCGGGCTCCTGTCATTTCGAGCCAAGGTTCACAATCAGAGTGTTTTGATCTTGGATGTTGAAATGAGAACACTGAAAACCGTGTCGACCACGTGGTCAAACAAGACCCTCTATTGTGGCCCGAAGCAGCGCCGCAGATGGACGCAAGTTAACAGTGGTCTGTGTCAACACACTCTCCTCAGCGGTCACGCAGCGGCCTCGCTGCCACATTTTTTGCACAATGACTAACAATGAACTCACAAAGAGCTAGCATTTTGCAGCTTTGCCCCAGAAACCCAGTCAACTCGACCTTGACAGTTTTGCGGACTGTTGCAAAGCACGCACGATCCGTCTCAACCACTAGAAACAGAAAGAGAGCAACAGGAGCGGAGATGAATTGGAGAGGGGTCTGGGGAAACAAGGATGACTGCAAACGCAAGATGGACGGATTCGCCTGGACACCGAATAATCCAAGCCACTGAGACGAGAGCAACAGCTGCAAGCCGCATCATCATTTCCACCCAAACATCTTGGCACCAGACCTCAGCGCAAAGGATTTCAGCCTGCGTGATCCCACATGAGGGCTTCTTCAAATACAAAGGTTCCTTCCGTTTCCTTTGAAACCAACCCAGAAGGTGGTTCCCTACGTAGGTGACACCCTCAAAGTAGCCAGTTTGAAACCGAAACGCGCGGAAATCTGCAATTCTGAAACTTCCCCTTTTTGAGCTCATGTGGCTTTCGGGCATGGACAACTCTAAAGCCACCTGAAGTGACGCCCTCCCCCAAGCCAGCCCACCCAACAAATACCGCATGAGACCCATGCTGCGCTTGGTCACGGACATACTCTACAATTAGCGGGCTCCAAGATGGTAGTCGGCTCTTTACCTTCTTGTAAACGATAAAGCAAACTTTGGAGAAACAGGACTGCTCACTTCCATGATTCTTTGGCAGCAGGTGAGCGCATGGAAGTCAGCCAGTGTTCAGCCCATCCAAAAAGTGCATGCCAAACAGCCTGGCCCAAAAATGCCTGGTGAAGGAGCCCTGAAACATTGATAGTCCGACAATCAGCGGCTCTCGCCTGGCAAAAAAGGGGTGGGATGCGTGTCTCGAAAGAGTCCAGGTGAAGCTTGCTGAGGATAGCTGTCCCTTCCAGAGTTGTTCGCCCTCGCAGCCCCAAACTGCGCTCGCCATTCCGTCCAGCTGCGTACTTGTTGAAAAGCTCTTTGGCACCAGTTAAGATACCTGAGTGCTGTCAATCAAATCCTTTCCGCAAAGCGACAGCAATGCTGCTTGGGGGCTCTCCAAGATCGCGGTGACAAACAGCCGAACTTCGAACTTGTTTGGTCTTCACCATGCCGAAGTGCTCTTGAGGTATTAGATTCAGCCTGCTGCCAAGGTTCGATCTGAAGCTGACTCTTCCAAGACGCAGCGCTCCATCAGCATCCTGCGAGGCAGAAAGGCCGAACTCACAGCCCGCGGCTAGCCGGTTTCGACAGTCTCGAGGCTCAACCGACACACAAGGTTCGCCCTTCAGGAAGCACAAGCAGGCTGGCAGGCCGGCCTCATGATTGCCGTGCATTTCTGCGCGTCGGCGCTTCTCTGAATCTCTAGCAGCTCTAGCATTTCACCGAAGTCGCCTGATGCCTGGACGCAAGCTAAGATCAAGCGAGGGTGGGGCTCAAAGAGCGGCATCGGTCAAGCGAAGTTGTCTTCAAAAGGCGCCACCTTCCCGGACGAATGAGCAATGAGGAGCTTTCTTGCCAGGGGAGAAGCTTTGGTCATCGTAATGGAACAACGCCTTGTGTCAGTCTCGCCGGGTCGCCGCATCAGAAAGGACGCCTTCATCTACGAACTTCAAGGTCCTGGGCGCAGCACCGTGTTGACAGAACCTTCCGAAAGACACACGACTCTTCAAAGCCCAGGCCAATAGACTGCCTGGTGTTGATGCCGTACCGCAGGCAAGACCATGCGCGCAAGCAAAGGAGCTACCTTTTCCTGCAACAGATTCAACTCTTTGGCCTAGGTGGCCAGTCTGGGTCGCTGACCCGCCAATGAAACTAACATATTCACATCTGGTTTGTTTGTCGGCGCGCCAACTGAATGCTTAATGCCTGCAAGTAGCATGCCTCCCTTCTCTTTCTGCATTCGAACCTTCCCACGGAACAAAACTGTGATATGGGATACTGCAGCGGCCAAGAGGTTCTTCTCGAATCGTTGGTCCTTTGGCGCAGGCACGCTGAAAAACCGCTAGAAGATGAAACAAACCAAACATTGGAATCCCTGAATGTTGCGCTATCTAAAACAATGCCGCCTTGCCTTCTCTGCAAACTTGTCATGGGATATGCCAAATTCATTCAAGCGAATGAGGAGCTTGTCATCTTCCTTGATCAAAGGCTGGATCCTTTTG